AGCTTTCATTTTTTTAAACTTCTGGGTTGCTTACAGAATGTCCTGGAGCCACAGTTCATGCTTTTGCACGCGAATCAATAACATCTGAGGCTCTCTTTTTGACCTCTTGTTTTCTTTCATATAAATGTCAAATTATAAAAATAAAACTTTCCTTCCCTAGTTGTCCCGAATTTTTCATGAATAAGCTATAAATATTGACTTTAAAATCTCATTCAAAAACTCAATAATTCATGAGGAAAACACAAAGTGAATCATAAGCACTCAGATGGAACTAAACAGAAATCTTTTGAATTTGAACAATAGAAATTTCGGTTCGATCGAAAAATTTCGCCTAGTGGAAAACCGCCTGTAGTCCTTATACGTTGTCATATTTTCCACACCAAAAAACTGGAGAAAAGCCGGTCGTTTTTCCAGTATACTCGTTTATTACTTTCTCTATGCATGCTATTAGGCCACATAAAATAAATTCCTTGATTCTCATCACCGCCCGACGATATTTTGGTTTCCGCGTTGATATATTTTTGTATTTTGTTATAAAATATAAATTTACCGCCCGACCGACCATCTTCAGAGATTTAGTTATTTTTATATTTTATATTGGAATTTTTGCGATATAAAATTGTTTTACCGTTAATATTGCAACATGTTAAGGGATGCTTGGAATACTGAAGGAAAAAATGGGCTTATAGCCTTACTACAACGATTTGTGTGGACCCTTATGTATGTTCATTAGCGCATGTGCAATTATATCCCCTTATATAGCGTTCTTCTATAATATATTTAAGGGCAAATATAAAAAGACCTCCCTCTCCAATTTTTTAAATTTTAAACTTTTTTTATATTTTGACATAAAATATAAAATATAAACCTCCCGCCTCCTGGGAGTTTTTAAAATTTAGCGATGAGAATCAAGGAATTTATTTTATATGGCCTTAGCACAACATTTTTAAATACACAAAAAATCGTTAAATTATGAATAAAATCTATATTAGACTAGTTTTTAAATGCTGAATTAAACTTAAAGGCGTTACAGCTGTCATGTCACTCCGATAATCAGTAGAAATGAATTATCTTGAATTTATAATGTCTAGAATTGCACTTCTGCTTTAATTGTCAATCTGAAACTCTATCAAGAAGCCCGCCACTTGCAGCTAGTGAGAGAATTAATTTGAAGCGCAGAGATACAGTGGCCTGGCATGCAATGCATGGTCTGCGGTGATAAAAGCAGGCGTAAAGATTGTTTCATTACATTAAAATACTCACTATTGTAGAGATATTTTAAAATACCAAGATCTTTTAATATTACTTCAGGTAAAACTTCACTCAAATTTGGTCAATGCATGCATGCAGTTCAATTAGCCTTTCTCACGATGACGAATATCCGCCATTTTTGGGTAGCATCTAACGCGCCTGCATGCATGTATTCTAAATTAAAGCTCACTCACACTCAAAGGTTCAATCTGAGCTTCCCTTGTGTCAATGCTGTTTTTGAATAGCTGGAGGGTGAGTAGTCACATAGTAAGGTACGGGACTAACCCTCCAGCTATTCAAAACTGCACTGACACTAAAGGAAAGCTCAGATTGAACCTATATATACACTCTTTGAGTGTGAGGCTTTTTGAATACAGGCGTAATTCTCGTTAACCAATGCAGACAATTAAAACAATGCGAAAAGCCATTTTTCAAAATAAACTAACCATTTCCATAGCAAATTTACCATCATTCGTCCAAAACATTATAAAAAGTCGTTATAGGACTCATAAAAGCCACCCAAAAATGGCGGCGCGAGAAAAGCATTTTCCTTAATCCTCAATATTTAATTAATGTAAACTTGCGCATTCATGGGAAATTATGCAGATGCTGCGAGTATTACCACTGATCAGGACCAATATCAGTTAATTGACAATGATGGCAGGTTTTGGGCGTCAGTTTCAAAGCTTTTTCATGCGTATGCGCATATGAGAACAAGACACATCATTAGCGAGGTAAGCAGATGGTAATTATGAAAAGAACATAATCAAGAACATTATCGAGAACATTTTTTCTGCGTTCAATTAGATGGCCAGTGAACTACGCAAATGACCTTATTCAATATAATCGCGCGCTCACATATCAAGAGCAAGAGCTAGTTTGGGATTTTGGTTCCTTTAAAATGGATAACCATTTTGCGAATTTATCGGGCGGAAATAACATCACTCACTCAAATGCTGGCACTGATCGCGGGCAGACCTTTGGCGATTTCGAATGTATAATAATGCGATTTCTCTTTGTTTTTACTGGGTCTGTTGGCCTGCTGGAGAACATTGTCGTTGTTACAATTATCCTACACAGCAGAATTATGCTCGATTTTCCATCCAATTGGTTCGTCCTCAGTTTGGCCATAGCCGATGCAATTTTTTGCTTTGCAGCGATTCCATTGATAAATGCCCTATGTTTAGGAGCGTCCTATATCATCCTAATTGGTGTGGTCGCTCAGTTTGTCACCATTGCCAGCGCTGGAAATTTATTCATCTTGACATTCAACAGATTTCTTTCCGTGTATAACTCGTTAAGATATCCTGGCTTAATGACCTACCGCAGAGCAAAGTGTTTGGTCGTAATTCCTTGGGGAATCGCTTTTCTCATGTCGGTTCTTGTCGGAATTTCAGTTCAAGCAGGAAGTCAGGATATAGCCTATCTCCACTCATCGTATTATACAACACTGATCATACTAACCATTGGACTCAACGTATATATGTTCAAGCTTGCAAGAAGCAAACGTAGAGTGACTGTACAGCAGCAAAGTGCAGTTCTGGCGCCCGGAGATAAATTACTTAGAAAAGAATTCCGCTTGTTGATTCGTCTGCTCGTCGTAACGCTGACATTTTTTGGGGCTTGTATACCAACAATGGTCTTGATGTATCTCTACCCAACTGCGCCCTCTCGTCAGACGCGTTCATTTCAACGTAAAAGTATTTGGTGTTTATTTGCCCTTTTATTTAATGCTGTTATGAATCCCCTGATATACTCGAGCAATCATCCGATATTTAAACGATATTTCAACAAGGTACGAAATCGGATTTTGCCTCAATGCTCCATAGCTCCACTGAACACGTAGTGCTATAGATTGCGGCCATTAGTCTGTAAATTCACCCATAGAATGGCCGGCCCTGACAATATCATGAACTGCATGCAAAACAAAATGGAAGTTGGAAAGGGAGCGTTTAAAAACCACGACCAGCCGACAATTTAAGAATATATATATATATATATATATATATATACTATGCCTCGAGGAGAAGCTACTAATTATGAAAGCGAAGAAAACTGAATGCTTGAACAAACGCTCTGACTTGTTTTCCAAATGTAGACATGCAACCAGATACCTGCTTAATCAAGTTGTAAAATGATAACCTATATTTATTATGAATATTGAATAATATCTGTCAGTTGCCTGATGATCGCGTAAAGCGTGAAACTCAGAGTAGCGACGCAAACATTCAAACCTTGACTGAATTATATATATATATACATATATATATATATATATATATATATATATATATATATATATATATATATATATATATATATATATATATATATATATATATATATATATATATATATATGTATATATATAAATATATATTCCGATCTATAACATGATATTTTTGTAAAAGTTTGTAACTGATCTATTAAAAATCTTCAATAAAAACATACTAAATTTTCGGCTGCCAACTGCAGCCTTCTTCAGAGTATTTTGGCCGTGTTCGATTAGTTCAAGTCCTTTTATGCCTTATCCCGTTACACTCAATTGATTCTAACAATGGTAAATACGAAACCGGAAATTCTATGTGTTCATTGACTGCATTTTTGTCTAGTACAGAATGTAACGCTTCAAGAAACCTTCTTTTGTCATAGTTTTTAATGCCTTTTTCCAAAATATTTACGTCAGTTTTAGCGACTTCATGACCTGTTTGTTCAGCATGTTCTTTTATAGCTGAAAAAGTCTTTTTTCTTACGCCTGGTTTGTGTTCAAGCCATCGGAAACACCAACATCTTTTAGACTCCCCGACATAAGTGAATGAGCACGACTCGCATTTGAATTTGTACACAATAGCTTTTGTTCGCATTTTCTGTGGTCTTTCTTTTGGTTTTTTGAATACATTCTCTAACGTGACTATCGGCTTGAATGCTGTCCGAACGCCTGCTCGAGTTAAGATGCTTTTGACTTTTTCCGACACACCTTTCACATACGGAATGCACGTCGAGCCACGAATCTCAAATTCAGAAGAATTTTGTTGTGTTTTGTTTGTATTTCTAACATTATCAATAAACGCTTTCTTGTATCCATTTAACTCTAACACTTCTGCTACTCTATCCGTTTCCTCCTTCTGTAAAACTTGGTTTGATGGAATAACTCTCGCTCGGTCTAATAATGATTTTACAACTGCGATCTTGTCTCTTACAGGGCTATGTGAGCCAAAATCTAGATATTTGTCGGTGTGTGTGCTCTTACGGAAAACTTTAATCGAAATGTCTGTAGAAATTTTACAAATCTCTGTATCCAGGAAATGTATATACATGAAGGTATAAAGAAGCGCTGGGTTATTAATACATCCGAACAAAGTTTGACACAGCATGAAATTACTTTACTCAGGAAAGGCATGAATTTCGCGTTAGCTCCTAAAAGTGTACCCACAAAGGAAATTATCGCTTCAGTGGAGCAAGGTATAAAACATTTACGTAACGACGAAAAGAATGAAGTAAGAGAGAGGGTGTGCGCCGTAGTAAAACATGCTAAATGTCCACAAAATAAAAACCTTTCACGTTTGGAAGAGAAAGCATTAAAAAGTTTACGGGGTAATAAAGATATTTTGATTACTAAAGCCGACAAAGGAAACGCAGTTGTAGTAATGAACCGCGCTGACTATCAAAACCAAGTTAACGAAATGCTTGAGGACAAAAATATCTATACACACATTACCGATAAACGACGAAATCCTACATCAAAAACTGAATTAGAACTACAAGATCGTTTACTTAGGTTAAAGGATACAGGACACCTTACTGAAAATCAATATAAAAGTTTAAGACCCTCTGACTCATATCCCGCGGCTTTCTACGGATTACCAAAGATACACAAAATACCTCTCATTGAAAAAGTTGATCATTTCACCGTAGATACCAACGTCAAAATACCTATGAGACCAATTAATAGTTGTATTGGATCCCCTAACTATCAAGTCTCTAAACATTTGGCATCCGTGTTAAAACACCTCTACGAAGGCGATCATGCGGTTAGAAATTCAAAAGATTTTGTTGATTTTGTAATGACCCAAACAGTAGAACCCGATGAACAAATTGTGTCATTTGATGTTACTTCGCTTTTCACATCAATTCCGGTAGATTTAGCACTAAAAATCGTTAAAGAAGAACTAGAAAATACAGAGATTTGGAAAGAGCACACAAAGTTGACGATAGAACAGATTTACAGTCTTTTGGCTTTTGTCTTAAAAAATAGCTTTTTTGTGTTTAATGGAAAGCACTACCATCAGATTTCTGGTTGCGCAATGGGTTCACCAGTAAGTGCGGTTATTGCTGAGCTAGTTATGCAAAGGGTGGAAAAAATTGCTTTGAGAACATCCCCAGTGCCGATACGATGGTGGAAAAGATATGTTGATGACTCAAACGCGTGTTTAAAACAAAACGATATAATAGCTTTTCATGATCATTTAAATTCTATAAATCCTTGTATTCAGTTTACCATTGAAACACCGGCAGTAAATGGAGACATGCAAACAATCGCTTTCCTGGATACAGAGATTTGTAAAATTTCTACAGACATTTCGATTAAAGTTTTCCGTAAGAGCACACACACCGACAAATATCTAGATTTTGGCTCACATAGCCCTGTAAGAGACAAGATCGCAGTTGTAAAATCATTATTAGACCGAGCGAGAGTTATTCCATCAAACCAAGTTTTACAGAAGGAGGAAACGGATAGAGTAGCAGAAGTGTTAGAGTTAAATGGATACAAGAAAGCGTTTATTGATAATGTTAGAAATACAAACAAAACACAACAAAATTCTTCTGAATGTGAGATTCGTGGCTCGACGTGCATTCCGTATGTGAAAGGTGTGTCGGAAAAAGTCAAAAGCATCTTAACTCGAGCAGGCGTTCGGACAGCATTCAAGCCGATAGTCACGTTAGAGAATGTATTCAAAAACCCAAAAGAAAGACCACAGGAAATGCGAACAAAAGCTATTGTGTACAAATTCAAATGCGAGTCGTGCTCATTCACTTATGTCGGGGAGTCAAAAAGATGTTGGTGTTCCCGATGGCTTGAACACAAACCAGGCGTAAGAAAAAAGACTTTTTCAGCTATGAAAGAACATGCTGAACAGACAGGTCATGAAGTCGCTAAAACTGACGTAAATATTTTGGAAAAAGGCATTAAAAACTCTACACGACGCTCTTCCGATCTGTTACATTCTGTACTAGACAAAAATGCAGTCAATGAACACATAGAATTTCCGGTTTCGTATTTACCATTGTTAGAATCAATTGAGTGTAACGGGATAAGGCATAAAAGGACTTGAACTAATCGAACACGGCCAAAATACTCTGAAGAAGGCTGCAGTTGGCAGCCGAAAATTTAGTATGTTTTTATTGAAGATTTTTAATAGATCAGTTACAAACTTTTACAAAAATATCATATATATATATATAATGAAATAAAGTTCATATGAAGTAAATCAAGTTTGTCTTCTAATCCGAATCCCATACAGTAGACTCGCTGTTGGCTGCTAGGCAAATGTTCTTTGCTTGTCCTTGAGTATAATACAAATCCTTTCCTATAGTATTAATTCTTTGCGGTTTTCCCAATATGAAACTGAAAGTCTCCAGTATGTATAGATCTTGCGTAGCGACGTCGCAAATGCAATCCACAAGGAATACATATACAAAGACATCTCACCCATCGATTTTGCAACACAAGCTCTTGCTATTCATTAAAATTACACGCATTTGTTAAAATACACACATTCTGAACTTTATCGAATTGATATCGGCAACTAGATCGGTAAAACAATCTTAGCGCCCCACCCTTATGTAAAAATTTTGTTATCTCCCAAAATCTGGGAGACACGTGACCAGCCTGGACCTACAATAAGACTGCAGTGCGGGCAATTCACGGAAAAAAAACGGAAACACCACATCAGCATTCACATGAAGTGTTTTCCGTCGAAAACTAAACTTCGACGTAGCAACCAAACCTTTTCTTTCAGCCAAAGCTGACAAGGATTTCCCTTCCATATCGTGATTCAACAAGACAGTAGTAATCTTTTTCGCTGGTCCAGAAAAAACCCAGGGTCTTTCCTCCAGCGAGGCGCGTAGTGGAAAGAGCCTGGGTACGAGGTTGTGAAGATAAACGCGCACAAAGTTTCTACTTTTCTCCCGGATGCAAAATTTTCAGCCCCAAACCGAATTCGTCCGCTGCCAACATTTTCACAAGCGGACAAACCGTACGATGGGGGGAAGGGGTTAGTGCTCATGTACAGTTTTTAAAATGTTAATTATAGACTCATCATCACGTCATTCCTGACATCCAACAATTTATGGAGCGTGCGAGTGAAAAAGTTGATCTGATCCAACTTTACTGCGACGATTAATAGACACTGCCACTGAAAGCAAAGTTGCATAGTTTTGGACCGACTTTTGTGGCATGCTGCTAAATATATTATATACACGTGCGCAAACCAAAAAGGAAATAAACATACAGGACGAATCTGATCATCTTTTCTATCGGAAGTAATTTTAGATGTTGTCAGTCCAATGAAAATACGTATTGGCAGGAAATATATAAGCATGTATATTTTTGTGAATGCGGGCTTGTTTTGCCCGTGCCGAAATCGACAAATATTCAAATGTCAAAAAAGATGTTCTTTAGCACATCACAATATTAATTAAAAGAGGTTGAAGGAGGATAACAGAGCATTAGTATCGATTTGTCATATCACTTATCGCAGTAAAGCGGTGGGTTATGGCGTATTTCAGTCGCGTGATGATCGAATCCGCGGTGGCCGGACATTTTGTAGACTTGGTCCAAGTCTCTCTTTCATTGTCATATCGATCCACTATAGTGTACATTACATGACGTAGTACGGAGGGGCGGAGCGAGCTCGAGAAAGAGAGACTTGTCAACTTCGGAAAATCTCGGTTCAAAACTGAACCGAAAATGCAAGACTTGCTTTAATTCTTTTCTGTCAGTGTTTATATGTATTGATCTAGCACATGTAAATAACATGAGTTCCATTATAGTAAATGATAAAGAAAGAAATTGAAGGAAAAGAATTAAAGCAAGTCTTGCATTTTCGGTTCAGTTTTGAACCGAGTTTTTCCGAAGTTGACAGGTCTCTCTTTCTCACTCCGCCCCTCCGTACTACGTCATGTAATGTACATTATAGTGGACCGATACTATATGACAATGAAAGAGAGACATGGGGCAAGTCTAGACATTTTGCCGAAAGACACTTTGCCGAAAGACATTTTGCCGAAAGACATTTTGCCGAACGGACATTTTGCCGACGGACGTTTTACCGAACGGACGTTTTGCCGAACGGACATTTTGCAGAATGGACATTTTGCCGAACGGACAGTTTGACGAACGGACATTTTGCCGAAAATAGAGATATCTTCTGAACTTTAAAGGTTCGCTTACACGGTCAACGTTTCTGTGATTAAAGTCATTAATTGTCGATTTTGATGACAGAAACTTTGATAGTGAAGTATAGTTTCGTTTTATATTCTTTCAAGTTTTTGACAAGTTTACCGAAAATTCGCGATATAAAGAATAACATCATTCAACATCATTCATGAATGCGATTTCCCCGAGAACTGTGAATATATTCCGTGATTCTCGAAGTGAAATTCGCTTACGTCGTCTTTATATACGCTTGTTTGTTTACGATCTGACGTCAAAACACGTTCCTAACAAATGAGTCATCCGCTACAAAAACAAGCTACCAATAGTCAATATGGTTATGCACTGCTATAAGCCTATAACGACCATTATTTATTTATTTATTTATTTATTTATTTATTATGCACTGCTAATGGTCATTATTGTACTGCTAATGACCATATATAATTGTTATTCTACACAATGGTTAAGAATTACAAAGTTATAGAAATGTGGCACAGTCCCAAACATTTTGACGAAATAACATCTCTATTTTCGGCAAGTTGTCCTTTCGGCAAACTGTCCGTTCGGCAAAATGTCCGTTCGGCAAAATGTCCGTTCGGCAAAACGTCCGTCGGCAAAATGTCCGTTCGGCAAAATGTCTTTCGGCAAAATGTCTGGGTACCGAATCCGCACGGTCATGTGAGATAAAGTCTTCATATGGAAAATGTTATACCCTGCTTGATTGAGATGCCACCACTTGCCAGGCGCAAGGTGAGATCTCACCTAGCTCGGCGGGCTGCCATTGGATTTTATATGCGTCATATGAACAGGCTCTAGATCCTGATCGCGCGCGAAGACACACTTGCGTCAATGTTATGTCACGTGCGTGTACTGTGTAAAGGTCATGGTGAATTATGAAGGCATTGAAGGTCAAATACATAAGCTCACTTGAACCACAATAAAATTATTGAGCACGTACTAAAACATGGATTTAGAATTTTAGAAACTGGAGTAGTTGGGCCTGGTTGCCTGCCGACCCTTTCAGTGAAGAATTACTATACTAGCATAATTTTGTATTTTTCGCCAATTTTGTCTACATTTTGTTGCACAGTATTTCTGTAAAATTGCGCACCTCTTATAGCCAATCAGAATCGAGTATTTCATGTATACAACTAAAAACTTAAAATATATGAAAGACTCATGCGCTGCCATTAAAACAACTTTTTAACATTAGCCGCTTTTAAAATACTAATAGATTATTCGTAGTCGGTGCCCCGTATATCCTATAACCCTAGAAAACAGAAATAAATGCGGGGAAATTGACGAAATCTTTTTTTTTAAATGCTGCCTGTTCTCCGAGTTCATGCATGTAGCCAGTCATTGTGAGTTGGTATATACAGAAAGTCCTCGAGCCACAGTTCATATTTTTGCACGCGAGTAAATAACATTTGAAGCTCTGCTTTTGACCTCTTGTTTTCCTTCATAATTATAAAAATAAAACTTTCCTTCCATCATTCCAAGGTTGTCTTGAATTTTCATGGAATAAACTACATATTGACTTTAAAATCTCAACTGAAATACTGTTTTCACCTTATTTTCCATACCAAAAAACTGGATAAAAGCACAGTGCAGTATATACTCGTAATTATAACTTTCTCTATGCTTATATATTGGCACAAAATTTTAAAATACACAAACATCGTTATGAATTGAAAAATGAACAAGAGTTCGCTTGTTTCTTTTCCCGCGTTTATATTCCCGTTTCCTAGGATACAGGGTCCCGATTACAAATTATGAATAAAATTTATATTAATGACTAGTTTTTAACTGCTGAATTAAAGACGTTGCAGCTGTCATGCCGCTAGCTCGATAATTGTAGAAATGAATTATCTTGAATTTATATAATTGTATGCACTTCTGCTTTGTCAATCTGAAACTCTGAAGAAGCCCGCCACATGTAGAGAATTTGAAGCGCAGAGATAGTGCCTGGCAAAGGCACCGGCAGGGCCGCCGAGAGGTTGGCGGGGGCCCGGGGCAAATTTTTTTTTAGGGGCCCCTATCTAAAAAATTTTTCCGGGAAAATTTTTTTTCAGTGTACCATTTTAGGGGTAAAAAAATTTTTCCGGAGTAAAAAATTTTTCCGGACGAGTACGTTGCAACTGCTTTCGAGGGACTTTATCTCATTTTTTTATGCCAAAATTCGGTACTTAGCCCAAGAAAACAGATATCTTGTCCTTTGCGCGGAAATATTTAACACACAAAAAAGGCTGGGGCCCAACAAAAAATTTTCAGCGGCCCCCAGCAACTCGGGGCCCGGGGCAATTTGCCCCCTCTGCCACCTCTGCGGCCCTGGGCACCGGTGATAAAAGCAGGCGTATGAAGAGTGTTTCATTACATTAAAATACTGTCTCACCATAGTAGAGATATTTTAAAATACCAAGATATTCACTCAAATTTAGTGAATGCCAGTTCAATTGAAAAGCATTTTCCTTATAATTCCCCATATTTAATTAATGTAGACGTGCGCGTTCATGGGAAATTATGCAGATGCGGCGAGTATTACTACTAATCAGGACCAATATCAGTTAATTGACAATGATGGCGGGTTTAATTTAGTCGTCTGTTTCAAAGCTTTTTAATGCGTATGCGATAACAAGACACATCATTAACGAGGATAATTATACGCAATGCTTTCCATTTTCAGATGCAGATAATTATGAAAAGAACATAATCAAGAACATTATCGAAAACATTCTCTCCGCTTTTAAGATGGCCAGTGCATGAACTGCGCAAATCACATTATTCAATATAATCGCTCACATATCAAGAGCAAAAGCTACAGTTTTGGATTTTCGTTCCTTTAATTTAAAATGGATATTAACCATTTTGCGAATTTATCGGGCGGAAATAACACCACTCACTCAAATGCTAGCAATCATCGAGGTCAGACCTTTGGCGATTCCGAATGTATAATAATTCGAATTCTCTTTGTCTTTACTGGGTCTGTTGGCCTGCTAGAGAACATTGCCGTTGTTGCAATTATCCTACACAACAGAATTATGCTCGATTTTCCATCCAATTGGTTCGTCCTCAGTTTGGCTATAGCCGATGCAATTTTTTGCTTTGCAGCAATTCCATTCATAAATGCTCTATGTACAGGAGCATCCCATATCTTCCTAATTGGTGTGGTCGCTCAGTTTGTTAGCATTGCCAGCGCTGGAAATTTATTCATCTTGACATTCAACAGATTTCTTTCCGTGTATAACTCGTTAAGATATCCTGGCTTAATGACCTACCGCAGAGCAAAGTGTTTGGTTGTAATTCCTTGGGGAATTGCTTTTCTCATGTCAGCTCTTGTCGGAATTTCAGTTCAAGCAGGAATTCAGAATATAGCCTATCTCCACTCATCGTATTATACAACACTGATCATACTAACCAGTGGACTTAACATATATATGTTCAAGCTTGCAAGAAGCAAACGTAGAGTTACCGTACAGCAGCAAAGTGCAGTTCTGGCTGCCGGAGATAAATCACTTAGAAAAGAATTCCGCTTGTTGATTCGTCTGCTCATGGTAAACCTGACATTCTTTGGGGCTTGTATACCAACAATGGTCTTGCTATATCTCTACCCAAGCTTGCTCTCTCGTCGGACGCGTTCATTTCTACGTAAAATTATTTGGTGTTTTTTTGCCCTTTTATTTAATGCAGTTATGAATCCCCTGATATACTCGAGCAACCATCCGATATTTAAACGGTATTTTAATAAGCTACGAAATCGGATTTTTCCTCAACACTCCATAGCTCCACTGAACACGTAGTGCTATAGATTGCGGCCATTAGTCTGGAAATTCACATTACGTGCGGCCCATGACAATGGATTGGATATATATATATATATATATATATACATATATATATATATATATATATATATATATATGCGCACGCTCACTGCTTGCAGTTTGAGCGCTCTGGCATGCATGGTTTTGATGTCCCACAATCGTGAGGCATC